AGGAAGGGCCGGCGGGCTTGCGGCAACCACGTGTGACGACCCCGGGCTGGACTCCACTTCGTCCACGGTGAAAGCCGGAAAAATTGAAATCGCATCATATGACCCCTTTAATGCACTGCATTATTTTGCTCATTGCGCCCTCCTGTGGCCTCGGGGGACAAGCCAAAAGTTTCCTTAAGACTTATTTAATCTGCATATAAAACTTTAAAAACTTAATTTTGTGTTTGACTGCTACAACAAACAAAAAAACTAAATAAATTGTTGTTTGTCTTAATAAATTGGGCAAATTAAACATACAGTGGTTAAATGTAAACATTTTTTTTCTATTGCTGTTTTTAAAAAGGTTAAAAAAAAAGTCAATAATTATCGATACCAAACGATATAAAACATTATATCGTTGATACATTTTTTTTAGCTATATCGCCCAGCTTTAGTGTGTCTTTTAAGGCTTGTCAGTAATCAGCCACTGTTAGGATTGTCTAACATCATTGCATAGGAAACCGTATCAATGCCCCCTCGATATTGGATGTGTGTTTTGACAACATAATCAAAGTTTACGTTTATCAAAGTTTACGCTTCAAAGTGAACGTTCATTCACTCCAATTGTCCTTTAGACGACAGACTCGAGCATGGAGTGTCTCCGAAAGCGAAACGTGCATCTGTATACTATATCCAGTGTAGACAAGATAGCGGCGGTGAGTGTGAATTTCTATTTGCTTTTGACGCAACGCTAAATGCGAGTGTCTCGTCGCGTAAGCAAGAGACTGAACGCTAGTGGGCGGGGCCTATGGTGAGAAGAATGGCGGCGTTTATTTACATTTAGTCATTTAGCAGACGCTTTTATCCAAAGTGAGGACAATAAAAGCAGTCAAAACTAACAAAAGAGCAACAATATATAAGTGCAAATGACAAGTCTTGGTTAGCCTAACGCAGTACACATAGCAAGGTGTGTATATATATATATATACAGAGCCAGTGGTGGTTTTGTAGACAAACATTAATGCCTTGAATTGTAGGCGAGCAGCTATTGGTAGCCAGTGCAAATTGATGAACAGAGGTGTGACGTGTTCTTTTCGGCTCATTAAAGATTAATCTTGCAGCGGCATTTTGGATTAATTGTAGAGGTTTGATAGAAGTGGCTGGAAGACCTGCCAAGAGAGCATTTGAAAGGGATTCATGCACAACTGGTCATCTTTCCTGTTGGCCTGCTGTTATAGAAAAATCAGGCCATTGGACATTTACGTGTTTCAACAGAGGCTCGTTTGTCTCATTTAGTACTTGGGTTTTCCCTGTTCATTGGGAAGAAAAATGTAAACGGGCATTGAGTTCTTCTTTCTTGACTTCTGAGCTGTTATGAACACAACAGCACATTGGCGTTGATGAAAATAAATTCTATATTGCAAAAGGGTGCATCTCATAAAAACATGGCCACGTTTCACTACAAAATGTAAAGAATAATTAAGAAATTATATTTTGAAGCTTTTTCCACATTTGAACATTTTCATGGACATCCCTCCCTGAAATTCTCATCTTAATGCATCCAAATGTTTTATTTGTAATTCCCATTATTCTCATTGGTGATACTCATTGTTGTGATGCAGTACATTTTACTGTAATATGATGCTTTCTTTTAATAGGCCTAAAGGCAGTCTAAAGGCAGAATTGGGTTTTTAAATGGTATTTAAATTGGGATTAATGTAATATAAGACTATGCCCATTTATCTTAAAATAAAAGCTGTTATCTTCAGTTCTTTTAAACGTTTCAAAAATCTCAGACCTGAGAAGAGAGAACATGAAATGCCCTTTAATCTTAATCCGCAGTTTCAATGCTCAGGAATACTGCGAATGCAGACGTTCTTCAGAAATGAGTGGGATTATTTCTGTTTATTTCTTTCCCTTTTGCCTTTCTTTTCCCCTTTTTTATTTTTTGTTGGAGCCAAAGAGTTTGTTTAGCATTTACGTTTACCATTTTGTTTCATATACTGTAGTTCCATTCACTCTAGAGTCTAGAGTTACTTTTATCCTCTTTGCTCTCAGATGTTAATTGTATATTTTGACATATATTACATAATGATTAGAATGATTTGGTTTAGATAAAAGTCAATCAGATTTCAAGCATGGGATGTGATGGATCTTACTTTAAGGGCCTTTTGAAACATGGTGCTGCTGGTGTACATGCCAAATCTGTATGCCACCTTCTGCGTCCTGTATAGCATGCCATCTTTTAGCCCACGTTAAAGGGGTCATATGACGTTGCTAAAAAGAACATTATTTTGTGTATTTGGTGTAATGAAATGTGTTTATGCGGTTTAAGGTTCAAAAAACACATTATTTTCCACATACTGTACATTATTGTTTCTCCTCTGCCCCGCCTTTCTGAAACGCGTCGATTTTTACAAAGCTCATCGGTCTGAAAAGCGAGGTGTGCTCTGATTGGCCA